AATTGGGTATTATTGAGTAAATACAGATCTCACATTAATATAGAGCTATGCAACCAAAACATGTCAATCAAATACCTGTTCAAATACGTCAACAAGGGTCATGATCGAGTTACGGCGGCATTTTACGAAAGACGCAATACAGATGGCGGTGCTGAGATTCGTGACGAGATAAAGATGTACTACGACTGCATATATCTTTCGGCATGTGAGGCAATGTGGAGGTTGTTTAATTTTGATATTCATTACAGAGACCCATCTGCCAAGCAAACGATGTTCTTAGGGTGGTTAGAGCCGAAGAAGAGTTATCCACATGCCAGGGACTTGAGGTACGGATATTTTCCACAGCAGTTGGTGTAAAAGAAGGATTCTTGCACTTGGGTGCCAAGAAAAAAAGGATTTTCTATTGGTAGGATTGCAAATGTTCCCCCTAAAAAGGGGGAAGACTATTACCTTAGGTTGATATTTAACATTCAGAGGGCTGCACGTGTTACGAGGACATCAGAAAAGTTGCTAACTACGTCTACCCTACGTTCAGGGATGCGTGTTATGTGTTGAGTTTGTTAGACAACGACAAAGAATACATAGATGCGATAAGAGAAGTGAATGCTTGGGCATCTGGGGATTATATAAGGAGTTTATTTGCGGTTATGCTGCTTTCCAATAGCTTAAGCCGGCCCGAACATGTTTGGCAAAGTTGTTGGTCGGGTTTGGCGGAGGGTTTTGCTTACAAACAACGGCTTCATAGTAATCCAGGTATGGCAATTTGTATAGAATATTATTCAATTAGATTTTAAATATTACTCATTTTTTTAATAGTCTCTTTAAGTTTTGAACTAAATTCATATAATGTAACAAATTTTTATGCAGATTTATCTATATCGGATGAAAGCTTGATGAACTATACTCTCACTAAAATAGAGAAAATATTTCAAAGTAATGGTAAAAGTCTACGTTATTACGCGCCCATGCCATTTCCAATCGAATTCGCGGTGGAGGACACAATAAACATATTGGTCTTAAATGAACTGGATTACGACGGTTTGAAATGGGTAAAGAACTTCAACGGTGTCTTGCCTCAATTACAGACGAGCGAACAAAGGTTTATGATGTATTCATGGATATTGTATCCAATGACCATGGTGGAATGTTCTTTCTATATGGTCATGGTGGAACGGGAAAGACATTTCTCTGGTAAACTCTTTCGGCTGCAGTCCGTTCCAAGAGAGAGATTGTAATTAATGTTGCATCGAGTGGTATAGCATCGCTATTGTTCCTCGGTGGAAGAACAACTCATTCTCGATTTGGACTTCCCATAAATGTACACGAGACTTCCACCTGCAGCATAACGCAACAAAGTCCACAGGTGGAGTTGATGATTAGGGCTAAGCTTATTATGTGGAACGAGGCTCCTATGATGCATATGAACTGTTTTGAAACGCTTGACAAGACAATGAAGTCAATATTCCAGGTAGACATACAAACCGTTTGGAGGTAAGGTGGTTGTTCTTGGAGGAGATTTTAGGCAGATTTTACCAGTTGTACTCAAAGCATCAAGGCAGGACATAGTACATGCTACGGTAAACTCCTCTCCGTTGTGGCAATTCTGTCGTGTCATGAAGTTGAGTAAGAACATGAGATTGCAGTCATGTTCTTCTCCATCTAATGTGGACGAGGTAATAGAATTTGGGGACTGGATACTGAAGCTTGGTAATGGGGATGTTATGGAACAAAATGATGGTGAAGCTTCGCTACAGATTCCCGAGGACATGTTGATTGGTGATTCAGAAGATTTATTCAGAGACCTACTGAACTTTGTCTATCCTGATTTGTTGAGTAACATGTATGATCCAGATTAGTTTCAAGGGAGGGCAATTCTTGCACCAACTAATGAATGCGTCGAGTCTGTGAACGATCACTTAATGTCTCTCCTTCCAGGTGAGGAGAAGATGTACATGAGCTCAGATAGTATGTGTAGGGACGAGCAAACAACGGATGATAATGCAAAAATCTATTCGACTGAATTTCTCAACACAATAAGATGCTCGGGGGTTCATTCTCATGTATTGAAGTCCAAGGTCGGTGCATCAGTTATGCTAATAAGAAACATCGATCAAGCTGAGGATTGTGAAACGGGGTCAGACTTCAAATTATTATAATCGACATTCACGTTCTGCATTGTAAACTTCTTTCCGGTAAAAATATCGGTGACATTGTGTTCATTCCTCGGATGACTTTAATACCATCTAACTCCGGACTGTCAATTAAATTTCAGAGAACACAGTTTCCGTTGATTGTTTCTTTTGCAATGACGATCAACAAAAGCCAAGGCCAAACTCTTTCGGATGTTGGTTTGTATCTTCCTCGGCCTGTCTTCAGCCATGGTCAACTATATGTTTCACTATCCAGAGTTAAGAGCAGAGGTGGCATTAAGATATTCATCAAGTGGGATTCGGGCGAACTCACCGATGTTACTAGAAATGTCGTATACAAGGAAGTATTTCATCGAATTTGAAGGTTGAAAATATTTTCATATTTATGAGTTCTTCATGTAATATGTCTTGGTTTTTATTTTTTTTAACACCTTACTCTTTGGCAGGTCTATCTTTCCTGTATGTTTTTCCCCGTGCGATTTTATTTTCAGTCATGTCCCTAGGATGCTCAGTGCAAATCTTATTATCTTTAAGATTTATGTTTGTCGATATACTAATATTTAATATTATTCTTATATTGTAACTATGAAGAATATGATACTTATAACATATTTTTAATATTGTTGGTCGATAACGTTTTGTACTTAAATTAATGAGCGTAATAATTGATATATGCGTAAATTTGTTTTACAGACATGTATTTTCAGTTGAAAATATGCCGCCCCGTGCATCGCACGGGTGAATACTAGTTGCTATATATAAACTTGTTTTGTTATGTCTATATGTTATGTCTGTGTGTGTATGTGTAGCGCATCATATACTATGTGGTGGACGTGATCAAAGCAAACAAACATCTCTCACCGGGTTGTGTATCGTTGTCTTTGACGTTTACCGCGACTAATCGGCTCCGAGAAGCCACAACATTCGAATCGAGGATTTCCTTCAAAGTCGGTCTAACTGAAGTAGAATTTATTCGAGTTGTCCCTACTTAGCTGCTGCTATATGCTATATGCTATAGGTAATTATTTTTTGTAATTTTTCGTTAGCCATATACATTTACGTATTCATGTTTTTTACAACTTCAAAATTTTGAATATTAAACAAAAGAGGCTTGTTTGAGTTGGTGAGATACTTTAACCTGGATATGCATTGATAACACCTCCAGATAAAACACATAAATATGGGTGACTGTTTTGATATTCGATATCTTTTGTATGTGAACATACTTAGTGGAAATTGAGTTATAAAAAAAAAAAAAAAAAAAACTACCTGAATATTCAATCACAAATTGACACGTGACAATTACAAATAAAACCACCTAAAATCTTCAATTGATAATTAATTTGACGGCCATGGTTAAATTGATATCAAAATATTATCTCAAATATTAAATAAGTATTTGATAACTCAATTGAGCAAACAGCCCATGATGTAGGAAAACCGCCGAGCATAATTATTTGCTAAGTTTTCGGAACTAAATTTTTGTTTGATAATATATAATAGAAAATAAGAGTCTTATCACATATGCATCGTTTCGAAAATAAGAGTTCCAACAATCTCATCAAAAATACAAAATAAGCATACAAGAGTTCCAACTTAAGCTTAATTAATCTACTTACATCTTCAATTAATCTACTTACATCTTCAATTAATCAAGCTCTTCGTCGTACTACATTCCTTTTAGTACGTCGATTCATCTTATATTGAACACTAACAAAGAGACCAACAAACCATTTAGGCTTTCCATATCGAAAAATGAAATAACCGATAATAGTTCCAAATACTAACCCACATCCATATCCCAAAGCAACAGCTTGCCAAGTAAAACCATCGAGAAAATCGGACTCATCATCACCTTGCGGCAACACTGGAACCAAAGTTTGTTCATCGTCGCCTTTGCACTTTTTCGTCAATGGGAATCCGCATAATCCCGAGTTTCCCATGTACGAACTATTGTCAAATGTAGGAAATTGGCCAATACTAGACTGAGGTATCTGCCCGGCAAGATTGTTGAACGAAAGGTTAAATTTGGAAAGAAATGTTAACCTTGACAATTGCCACGGAATTCCCCCCACCAATTTATTTGAAGACATGTCCAATGACTCGAGTTCACTCATATTCCCCAGAGAGGGAGGTATACTCCCCGCGAGGCTATTACGAGACAAATTCAAGTACTTGAGAGAAGTTAGCTTTCCTATGGATTCAGGAATATTCCCCGAGAATCTATTGCCAGACAAGTCAATGGTTGTGAACGCTGTCAGGATTCTGACCAACGGAAGCTCCACTCCTTTAAGAACAAATGTCATCGATTGCTCATAATACGTAAACAAGTCTAATTTCGGTGTTGTACTATTATCCCCCAAATCTATCATGGCGATGAAATTCTCCAAATATCTGACGGGCAAAGCGCCGGCAAATTCGTTGTTGGATATATCGAAAACTTGCAAACTAAGAAACGGGACCTTACTATAACTCTTTGACGAAACCAAAAAGTCACCATGGAATCTATTAGACCTCAAGACGAGCACTCGAAGCTCGGGTAGAGTTTCCATCCAATAAGGAAACACGTCTCTTATTTGATTGTTTCCAACGTCGAAAACCGTCAATAGTTCACAATTTAGCAAGGATTTGGGTAACGTCCCTTCCAAATTATTACCATTGAAGTCGAGATACTCGAGAATGCTACCATTTGAAAAAGTTGAAGGAAAGAGGCCGCGGAAGTTATTTTGCTTTAGTTGCAATAGTATCAAAGACATGCTCGAGTTTCCTAAACAATGTGGGATCGAACCTTCCAAATTGTTGTGCGATATTTGGAGATATTGAAGGACTCGTAAGTTGCATAAATGCGTAATTGACCCTTCCAATTGGTTGTCGTGGAGTAATAAGAAAGCCAAATCTGTGGCATTACCAATGTTTGAAGGTATTGAACCCGATAGATTGTTGTTCGAAAGATCGATCGTTCTGATATCTCCTTGGAACATGTCCGATGGAATGTTACCTGAAAAAAATATAACAAGTGAGGCAATTAATTCAATAACATATAACTTTGCAAAAAATAAAGAAAAAATAAAAATTATAGCTCAATGTTATTGTTAAAAGCTTTATGATCACAAAACAAAATGATAATATGTGCTTATGTTAACTTTTGAAATATTGTTTAAGGGTTTTCTTTTTGCAAAAACTACCCGTTGGGTAGTCTCTAATTGCTAAAAAAATCCTTTGTTAAAAATATTTAGCAAGAACCCCTTATGAAAAATAGTCAAAGCAAAAAAGTCTAAAATACCCTCGAAATTCTTTTTGTTTCCTTTGTTGTTCTTTTTCTTTCTTTTTTTTAATATTTCTTTCGTAAGGGTAATTTGGCCGTTTCACAGAAGTCGATAACAAATTTCGAAATAAGGACCGGTGTGCTTTGAAAAACGTAATGTTATATTGGAGAGATGTAGTAAATCTTACCAGTTAAAGCATTGTCACGGAGGGCTAAACCCCAAAGCAACGTCGCATTCCCAATGTCTCTGGGCAATGCTCCAGTAAGTCTATTATTCGACATGTCTAAAACCAGTAAGTTATTTAGATGACGAATTTCTTCTGGAATAATACCTGAAATATTATAATATCCATTGAAAAATCATGTTACCAATTACACTATACAATTGGAAGGAATTCTTGTTACAAAACTTTTAATAATTCAAATAACTAAACTATATACATGGAGTGAATTATTTTTTCTAAACACGAGTACTAATTTATATAAAATATAAATCATAGGGGGGGTGTTTGCAAATAAAATAATATAGGGTAGATTTTTAACAATTCCACGAACACATGGGTACTTTTTGTAATAAATTACACCTTTTTTTTTTTTTTTTTTTTTTTTGAAAAATGATAAACTACACAAAAACGATTAGTTTTTGCAGTGATTCTAGGCTTAACATTTGGTGTTGATGCTTCAATTGAGTGATTGATTTCGTTTCTTAACAAGTTTTCTTCTAGTTCGTGATTGGTAGATTATATAACATACATACACGGGAGCGAGTCCACCCTATGGCTAGAGTACGTAGATTTAAGCCAACCCTGAAATATATATCATATCCATATTTTTATTTAGCTACTCAATTTTTAGTATGTAGCTCATTCAAAAATCAAACTAATGCAATAGAATCCTAAAAAAAAAAAAAACTTTTATTTTTCTATTTTTTCTGATTTTGTCCTACCCTATGCAGAAAAAAGTCCTACATTGTTTCTGTTCTTTATTTTTTCTTCTTTTTCCTATTTTATGATTTTGTCCCATCTTATGCAAAACAAATCTTAAAAAAGAAAAAAATGTGGACGCCGTTCTCAAACCCCCAGAAAATTAAGTCCACCATATAACAAATTTCGGGACTCGCGCCACTTGACATACACACATAAAAAAATAAATATAGAACACGAGTAACCCAAAAGCAATATGAAATTAAAAATGGCTACGGAATTTCTAATTAATCCATAGAAACCCCAAAAAGAAAAAATGAAAAAAAAAACATGCAAGTTAAAAGGAAGCATACATAATAAGCCTTACATACCTCTTAAGGAGTTGTCGCCAAGGTATAACGTCTGAAGCATTGTCAAATTCCCGATAGTCGTCGGCAAAGGTCCACTTAGCGTATTCGAAAAAAGCCACAAGTTTTGAAGTCGAGAACAGCGACCAATAGTTGTTGGTATTTCCCCACGAATCGTGTTCCCAGATAGACGAACCGTACTTAGATTTTCACTACACATTTCAATAGACAAACTTTCTGACAAATTATTATATGATATGTCAATATATTCCAATGAAGATATGTTGAAAATGTTTGAAGGTAATGGCCCCGTCAACTTGTTATTTTCCATCCACAGTTCCTTCAATTTATTAAGATGCCCTATTTCTTCTGGAATAGTACCTGCATATATATTGGCATTATAAAATCATGAAAAGTTAATATTCAATTTTTCATCAAAAAAATATAATGAATTTGGTGTGCTTTAGTCAAATAAATCAAACTAGTTTTTTTTTTTTTATATGTATATATATTGAATTTATTACATTTAGTACCCCGTGTTATATCAAATTGTTAAAAAACTTCTCTTTTGTTATTTTATGACTAAAACTCTTATATAATGCAGGGTAAATTGCATAAAATGCCCATGTTTTAAGGAAAATCTGCAACAAATCCCCTGTGTTATTTTTATTGTGTAGAATTACTCTGTGTTTTATTTTATTTTGCATGAAATTCCCTATTCCGTTAACAATTAGGACCGTTACCTATTGAGGGGATTTAATGCAATGTTTTAGTAAGACAAGGGAGTTTGGTGCATAATTTTTACAACAAAAGTGGAATCTATGCAAAAAAATATTTATTTATTTGAAATTTGAATTATTAATTATTTTTCCGCGCGCCGCTAACCGGTGACGGTAAAATTACTGTAAACGCAATAATATTAGTGACAACCACATCAATATTATTTTATTTGTTCGGCTTTTTTATTTTGTTTGATTTGTTGACTGGCCGACGTAATAATATTACTGTCTACTATTGTAATATTACTGGTTGACAACAAAATTATTGTAAACACAACAATATTACTGTGGTTGAAAGTTATATTACTGTTGTTACAATAATATTACTGTCAACCACAACTATACTAATTTTTTTGCCTTCTTATTATGTTTGCCTTTGTAGACCTGACAACATAATAATATTATTGTATTACACAATAATGTATTATGCAAAATAGTGATTATGTTGTGTTAATATTTATGTGGTAGATAGTAATATAACAATGTAACTGTGTTAAACATTAATATAATATTATTGTCAACTACACTAATATTACTGTTTTTTACGGGGGCAAAAAAATTTCATGGACAAAAATTAAAAAAAGGAAAAAAAAAAGTTAACGCCGGAGACCGACGGTCAACGGCGGTTAACCGGCGGCGACGGTCAAAATTTTAGTCAAAATGGATGTTAGGGGTCAAAAATGAATAAGTTGTGGAGTTTGGGGTCAACTTGAGGTTACATTGGTTTAAAGGGATAAAATTGGAACATATTAAAATGTGAGGGGTATTTTAGTTTACACACCTCTGGACTTTGTGTCGAGTGTTTTGTAAAAAAGTTTTTGGTCTTGTCTCTCCTTTAAAGTAACCCATGATGGGATATATATATATATATATATATATATATATATATATATATATATATATAT